CTATCTAAATAGAAATTCTCAGACAAAAGGATTCTACATCTCCAAGACCTGTCATGTTTCAGTTGAGACCACGTGTACTCCAAGGTCAGAGGTTCTCTCTCTCCCCTTAGACTGGTTGTCTCCTAAGGACAGGTGCTATATATTTATCTCAGACCAGAGTTCCATGAAAGTCGAGATTGTGCTTCCCTGAAAGGTCATGGAGACTTTCTTGTATATTTTCTTCTAAGAGTTTTTATAGTTTTAACTTCTCAGTTAGGTTCTTGATGCATTTAAGTTTTTTTCAATGTTATGTTTTTTAAATACTATAGGTCACTCTTTTACATGGGGATCTTCAGTTGCCCTAATACTGTTTGTAGAGACAACTATTGTTTTCTCAGTGAAATGTCTTGACACCTTGCCAAAAGTCAATTGACCATCCATTGATGGGTGTTTTTCATGCTGTCACTCTGAAGGTTCTCCTTTAAGGTTTTTGGTTTAATTTGGTTTAGATGTTTTTTAAGCTTAAAAAGACTCTGCATCTCAATATTTTATAAAGATTTCTTTTATAATTTTTCTTAAACAGTTATTTTATGAGGAGTGTGGGCAACCTAAACTCTAGGCACAATTTTAACTCTTTTCTTCTAAATTTCAGAAGCTTCTCCTCTTCTTCTTTTGCATAATGAGAGATGGGGAACCAAAGAGACTGCCCCATTTTATGGATAAAAGGCTAACAAAAGGCTAAACTCATCTTTTGCTAGTGACAATTTCTTCTATTTAAATGAAAACCATGCATTTAGACCCAATGGTCTGAGTTAAAAAGCTAGTTCTTATGATGTTATAGCCTTGGGTAGAAGCCAGGATTAATGGTGGTTTGGCTAGAGTCCTACCTGGAGGAAAAAGTCCAGACCAGAAGATCTCTTAGCCCATCTTACAAGGAATATATGAGTATGGCTGATTTCTGGGGGCAGAGGAGGAGTACCTGTGGAAGTCATGGCATCGATTTCTTGAACACTCCTACCAAACTGAACTTTTTGCATAATTTAAATAAAAATATCATAGTATTCAGGAAATGTAGTTGAAATGACCGCAGTGTGATGTAGACAACCCCACCTCACTGTGTTTGATTTTGTCATGGCCTGAGTTCCTACTCATCTGAAATTAACCCAAAAGATACCATTTAGAAAGCATTCTATAAGCTGTTTTTTGCAAATGCTGGTGGCATGGATTTTTAAAAACCCTAATAACTAGTATCTGCAATTAACCACTGCAAACGCTGAAAGGGGATAGAAGGTATACGAGACCTAGTCCCATGCTTGAAATGTTTACAATCTCACATAAAACACACACTTGTACATGGCAATAAATTATATGTATGACTAGCAATAAACACTCTGGAAACTTTCCTTGGTCAGGCCTCGTCAGGGAACCCATTGCAGGTGCCAGGGGATTGAGATTGGTGCTTGGAAGACAGATTTTCCAAAGGCAAAGGGAAGGGGGGATACTCTCAGAAGAAGTATATACACACACAAAAGAAAGACAGACAGAAAGGAGAGAGACAGAGAGAGAAATGGAGATGTCTAGTCCTCAGAGAAATAGGGTCCCAGGCACTAAAAGTGAGAAGGGATGGGTAGTTCTCAGGGATGGGCTCTTGTCCCAGACAAATATAGGATGCTAATAAGAGTGGGAGCCACATCATTCAAAATACTATCATTCTAATTTGGTACATTTAAGCTGACTAGTTCCATTTTCTATCTGTAATTGTAATTAGCCTGCCCCTCTGTCTACCTTCCACTTCCTGCCTGTGTTATCAATGTGACTACATTATCTCTAGAGTGAAAGCTTTGATGCATGAGATAGAGCTCTTATTGCTTCTTGAATCCAGTGTATAATAGGCACTTGATATCAAATCATAGAATACTCATAGATGCAGCCTGAACCAGGAAGAGAGATTGGGATTCGATGGCAAACATTAAGTTTCTGGGGTCCTGACCTAGAGCTAGCTGGACTTGTAAGTCTAGTTGGAGGAAAGAATAGCTGAGGGGCTTCAAGAAGGCTTCCTTTAGGGAATGAGCAAAGCTAGATGCTGATCTCTTCTACTGAGAGCGCCAGTCCTGCCGGAGTTGATCCCCAACACCGTCCTCTATGTGATGAAATTCATTGAAATTAATTGAAAATAACTGGAGCTAGAGACTTCTGTGGGCAACTACATTGAGGAGTGGTCTGCGGGAGCTGGAGAGGAAGCTTAGTCGACCCAGGGCAGAGTCTCCAGAAAGAATCACCCTCAGCCCTTAAGTAAGGGCGGTTGAGGTTGGATAGTTAACCTCAAGGTTTTGTAATGTGTGAGGTCTCAGGAGAGTGGGTGGGGGAAAAAAACAACTAGTATATTGGGATGAAATTATTTTACCTTCCACTAATGCTTAGTGTATGTGAATCCTTTCTGAGGGCCAGTTAGGGTTGTTTCTTTTTTCTTTCTTTCTTTCTTTCTTTCTTTCTTTCTTTCTTTCTTTCTTTCTTTCTTTCCTTTCTTCTCCTGGCCTGAGGATATGTTTTTGTTTTTTTATTGATTTTTTTTAGAGAGAAAGGAAAGAAGAGAGAGAGAAAGATACACAATGTGAGAGACAAACATCAATCGGTTGCCTCCTGTATGCACCCAGACAGAGGATTGAACTTGCAACCTAGGTATGTGCCCTGACCAAGAATCGAACCCACAGCCTTTTGGTGTACCGGATGACGTTCCAACCGAGCCACCCGGCCAGGGCAGGGTTGTTTCTGATGCCTGAGGAAGAGGAGAAGAGGAAGAGAAGAAGGCAGAAGAGACAGAGAGGGAAGAAGTGAGGGAAGAAGGGGTCTGATCCCTGAGGCCCCATAAATCAGGTGCTCTTTCTAGGGTCTTGTTCTAATGGGGTGAGGTGGGCTTCATACCACCCTCTCACCTTCTGTTTCACTCACAAAGACTTTGCTCTCCCTTCATCTAAACTGCATGTCAACATCTAACTCCTCCTGGGAGCGTCCCAGGTGAGGCAGGTGAACCCTGATAATCCTGCCCTGCTGGACTTGGGGCTTCAACAGCTGCTCTTCTGGCCTCATCCTGTTTCCCACGCTGCCTAGGTACTTATCCCTCATTCCACGTCCCAACCTTGCTTACCTTTGTCTTATAGACATGATTTAAAGCCTTTGAGAACTGCTCCGTGTGATTTCTCATCTTTTTTATTCACTCAACTCTTCCCTGAGTGCCTGTGTTGGGAGCACAGAGGCAGGTGAGACATGGTTCCGACCATCAGGGAGTCACATCAGTGCCTCTTTACTTAGCTGTGAACATCAGCAGCAATACTGAGGCTGAAGCCTCAGAAGCGAGGGACTGTATTTAGATGAGAGTGTCCCCACAAGAAGCATGGCCAACATGTGTTGAGATCAATTTTCATGAAAGATGAAGGAAACTTTCACTCTGCAGGAAGCTTTTCCATGGGTTTCCTCATAATTACATAAACACCCCCCGCCTTTGCACTTAAGAGATAGCAGGGTTTACAAATGTTTTACTCTCCACAGTATTCTCAGTCTGTTGTGTAAGGTGAGGTACACCCACAGATTTCTCTGTACTATTTATGGAAGGGTGTTCACGAAGGCCTTAGGTGAGGATGGTGAACACAAAAAGTCGAGATCTACTAAAGAAAAATTAGTGGGATTTTTCCCCCTCCAATTTTTTGTTCTCCCAAAACACAAAGTCGATTCTAATGACACATAGATTATTTCATTCAACAAATATTAATGAGCATCTTCTTTATTGTCAGGGACAGTATCAGGCCCTAGGAATGCAGAAATGATAAAGACAAGGTCCCTGTCATTAAGGAACTGTTTAATAGAGGAGATAAGACAAGTATTTAGGCTACTTTGACCTTGAGCAGCTATAAAGTCTATAAGAGGTGTCTATGAAGTTCAGGGATTGGAGAACTCAGTGGAGGCGATGACATTCAGCTGGATGATGAAAGTCATGGATGATGGGTTAGGGGGTGAACAAGTAGGGTCTTCCTCAGACTTGGGTGGTATTGAACTTGACCCTCCCCCTCGGATCCTAGGCAGGACTCAACAGCGGTAGTTTCCCCATTCAGCCCCCCAGGAATGTAAGTTAGACTTAGTCATACCCACCTCCACTCAGGTCAATCTAAAGGCCCCAGCCTTCTGGTCACTCACTCACATGTGAATCCCTTTGAGCCAATCACAGCTAAGTGTAGCTGAGGAATCCAGCCTTGGGCCTTGTGAGACATCCGGATGGATAATCTGCCCCATGGCTGCCCTCCAATAATATGTAGCCTAGAGGCTTCAACTGGAGGGTGTATAAATGGCCTCTTCCTTCCAGGCCCCACAAGGCCTCCAGACTCCTGGAGCGACTTGTCACACATCTTCCTCTAGGGTAAGGCTACTTCTGAGTGGGGAGACACTTTGATGTTCCTCACTCAGATGCTCCAAAGGCAGCCTCAATCTTTCCTCTTGTCTCTTCCCAGAGAGTAGATAAGCCAGGTAGGAGAGGTTTGGGCAGAAAGAAGGGAAGGGAAGTGGGTCCTTGCAAAAGACCTCAAATTATCTCAAATGGGAGGAAGCCATGGAAGCTAAAGGGCCAGAGAAGGACAGAAGATACACACAGGCTTAGGAGTCTCAGGACAAAATAAGACTGAGTCAATAGAAAGCAAAGACTCCATTCTCCTTTACACTTGACCACGGTGGACATTGGCTTGGGAAAAGTGGACTGTCAGCTCATCTAAGCTGCAGACTGTTTTTCTCGTTTAATAAGAAGAGCAAGATATTAGCCTGGCTGTTGGTGAGGGGGTCCCCTGGGATTCCCACCATGATTTACTCCCCAAATATTTGGTCCTTTCAAACCCATTTCTTATCCTTCTGGGATGGATTTTAGCAGGCTGCAAATGCTAGGCTCCATTGGACAGCTCCAGCTCCAAGAGAAACAGGCACCCGAGGCCCTGATCTAACCAAATGCTTTTTCCTTCCAGTTTCGACCTGCTAGCCCAGCGATGTCACAGCAGAAGCAACAATCTTGGGGGCCTTCACAGGCTCCCAAGTGCTCTCCTCCCCAAGACTCACACCCCTCCCTGGCTCCCTGCTCTCGCCCTTGCTGTGCCCCCTGTTCAGGAGGCTGTGGCTCTGGTTCCCAAAGCTCCCGGACTCAGAGCCAGACTGGTGCTCGGAGGGCTAGCCGAGAGCCCCGCTGCCTCAGGGGTGGCACAGTCTACCACATTAAAGAGGAGGAGTGCTGAGGTGACTGGCCCAGAGGAGAGGGCCACAGGGAGTTGCTCTCTCCCCACCCAGGCCTTGTGTACTCACTCCACTGGGAAGCTCAGGACCCTCCTTCTCTTTTGGGCCAGGAAACACCTTCAGGCCCCTAGCACTTAACAGGTGAGATCTCAGCGATGCTGTGCTTCTGATTCGGTCTTCCACCCACTGCCTCAGCTCGGCAATGAGATAGCTGCTTCATTTGGGGCCCTGACTGCTGTGACCCTTGAGGTGCCAGCTCAGATGTGTGACCTCTGCAGGTGGATGCTATTCCTACTTCCCTCCTAAGACACCTGACAATGCTTCAAGGAGACAGCTGGTTTGAGATTCATGCCTGAGTTCTCAGCATCCTCAGCCATCAACCGATGTTGCCATATAATCCTAGCACTGAAGGCCTCAATGTAATAAAATTATGCTGAGCACCTACTGTGTACTGGGCTCTGTGATTGCAGATGCAAGTAGCAGATGTGTCTTTGCTCCAGGAAAACTTACAATCTAGTTGGAGAGAACATTCTAGATGGAAATATGTGAACTAATAAATACACTTTTAAGCTGATTGACATACTGATTTTTTTTTCTCACTTTGCGTTAAAATTACTTAAAGGAGAAAAAAACAGTTAAAAGGCCAAGGACAGTAGGGAGAAGCTTATCCTGATGCTGTTCAAAGGTGGTTTCCTGGGCCTTGGAAGGAGAAGTTGGAAACAGAGCACGTGAGTTGGGGGAACAACAGGCTCACTGGGGTAGGCAGCATTTAAACAGGGCCTTTTAAGTTAAGCCACCTTTGGTGCTGTGCGTGGAATGAGGGGGAAGAATCTTCCAGGTGGAAGATGCAGCATAAATAGATGCCTGGCATGTGTGGTACTTGCCAGTGGCATGAATTTTAATGTGGCTGGGTGTCAGGTATGAGATGATGATATAGGATTGTTCATAACCTCAGTTCCTTATGATAACTCAAACTAGTAGAATCTCCTGAGCATTTTTAAACAATGCAAATGCTTAAGGCTTACTTCTTGGAGTTTATGACTCAATAGGTTTTAGTTGGGGGCCAGAAACCTATACTGTAAAAGTGCTCCCCAGATGGCTCAAATGCACAGCCAGCTTTAGAGTCCCTGATCTATCACAGCATCGAGAGCAAGACTGAAGGAACAGTTTCCTTGCTGGGTTGGCTCTAATGCTCTGAAACCCAGAGACTCTGTGATCTGCCCTTGCTCTTAAACTCGCCAATACTCAGCATTACTCACATGCAGAAATACCCAACACGCAGGGCTGTTACGAGGGGGAAAATAAAACATGTGACCAAAAATGTTAATGTATGAATAGCTTAGAATGACAGGTTCACAGAATGACAGAGCAGAAGATCCTGGTGTCACACAAGAGAGTGCCGTCCCCTAACATCTGAGCCACTTGCCTTACATTTTATAGTACTGACCTTCCTAGGTAAAGATAACACTACTGGTCCAACTGGAAGCAGGCTGTGTGGAGAGGGAGGAGAGTATGGTGAAGTCATTAGCATGGGGTTGTGATGAGCCAGAGATGCTATTCGTAGAGCAGTCTCTAAGAAAGGGAGCAGGGTGGCCTCTAAAGTCTGTTCTGTTCACCTTGGTGAGAGGAATCTACCTTTAATATCAGAAGACAGGGATATAAAGTTACACAGGAGTAAGAAAGCTCTGTCATTATAGGCTTGGGTAGGGAGGTCTTCCTTTTTAGACTTAGATTTAGAAATATCTTCTTGGGAATCACTGCCTGGAGGAAAGATGAGGTGATCTCTCTTCATCCCTTCGCATTTTAGGATTAAAAAGCACCCTTTTATGGTGACATCTGTAAATACAAGACCCAGCAGGATGTTTTAGCTGTTGCCCTGCTCACTGAGGTCAGCTGAGGGGTCAGGGAAGAGCCCAGGATTGAAAGAGAGAATCCTTACATTTGTTACATGGGGGAAGGATGATCCTGCCTATAAAAGATGATAAATCAGGAAGTAGTTCTCACCACTACCCGAGAGATCAAGATTAAAACAACAACAACACCCATTTTACAAAGAGTACACTGAGTCCCAGAAGAGACAAGTGATCCACAGCTGGTCCGTCAGTGTCAGGCCTGGGCCTGTGCTCCAGGGATGGTCTACTCCTTCAATGCAAGGGACTTTTCTGCATCTGAAGACATTAGAGAGAAAAGAGGCTGTCATGCTGATGGCGCATGATGTTGGTGTGTGTCCCTCAGTCCTATAGGTATAGGACTCAGAAGCTGAGGGATATCTGGGACTACAATAAATAACGATAATGCCTGCATTGTAATTACAGCTTACGGAACACCACTGAATGCAGGACAGTGTTGGTTTCTTTGCTCATAATATTTCTTTTAACCATCATATTACACACGGTGGGCCTGTGCCCCTTGCTCACACTATACAGACAAAGGGGGGTAATTGGCTTTAGAAGCCACCTCATAGAAGTGATGGGAACATGCTGTGCTGAGTAGCCCTTGTCTCTTTCTTTTACCCACTAATTGGGATCGGCTAAGACCCTCAGGGCCAGGTCATTGAACACAGGTCACTGAGTGTTTCCTCCGCCCCAAGAGAAGCATCAGCCCTTTCCTGACCAGGTATGGATCCCATTGCCCTTGGGAAGACCTTGGGTTCTCTGCCCGTGCTCTTTGCCACAGTCGGGTCCGCACGTGGCCTGCTCCGCACGTGGACTGTTCAAATGTCTGACTGCTTCGGGCAGAGGAAGACCCTTGTTTTCCTTTCTTTCATCACCTGGGAATCAGCTTGATAAGAATCTCATGCATGCCAGTGCTGGCCTGGCTGCTACCTCACCCTTCTATTAAGGGCACACCCAACACAGGCAGGAATCCATAGCATGTTTGAATCCTCAAGTAGGCAGGATGGTGAGGGAATGCTTGGGCAGATGAGGGCAGAGTCCAGGAATGCATGAGCTGTGTCTAGGCCTCAGGCAAGTAAAGACCCCCCCCATCACCTTCCAGCCAGTCTTTCTGTCTACAAGCTCATTAACAAAGAGCTTGCCCAAGTCCGGTTCTGATTCTCACATCACACACTTGTAGCCTGGCCATTCACACACTTCAGCTTCTTCAGTAACCAAATCAAGGTCACGTGCCCTGAGTAATCATCCTAAAATGTAAATCTTATCATGTTCCTTCCTTACTTAAATGGTCAAGGTGCCCCAATTGTCTCTGATCAAACTTTTTAAGCAGCCTTTTCAAATTAAGTCATATGTATAACTCCAAAACATAAAGCAGGCAAAGGTATAATTTCTCTGCAGCATGGGGTGAGTGGAAGGCCCAGATTCTAGCCTCCTCCTAGGCAATTTAAATAGTCAAGGATTAAGAACCGATGCTATTTTAAAATGTGACTCCAAGTTTTTAGGAACCCCATGTAAGTAAAGTGATATGAGGGAAAAGAAGGAAATTAAAATGTATTTTTAACCTAGTAGCTGTCAAATGTAATCTACATTCTTGCACTACAGTATCTCTTTAAGTTTCTCATTTTAATCCCATTTTGCAGATTAAAAAAAAAGAAGATGAAGCTCAAAAAACATTAACATACCCAAGGTTCAAATGACTGTCTTCCGATTCCAGACCCGTCTCCTCCCACCTTCCGTGCTACGTAAAGACATGAAGCTGGTGCAATGCACAGCGGTGGAGGCGTGGAGGGAGGGTGGGGAGAGCAACCTGCTGTCTGGGGGCGTGGCTCGAGTGTGATGTGTGAACATCCCTGGCAACAAGGCTTCAAGGACTATAATTTGGAAACCATTTACCTATAAGCTAAAGTACACAACCCAGCAAGTAAAGCTCTTATGTTCTAGGGCCTTCCTTCCTTTCTGTCTAGCTAGTGTCCCACTTCTAGCTTTTCTCCAAGATCATGGTCACTGTTTCCAGAAAGGACCAACCCCTTTCACGTCTCTGTGCTCCTGCATGTGTTCTCCCCTCTGTCTAGAACAACAGTTGCCCTTCATCTCCTGACTATCTTCCACTGTTTTTGAGCCTCGGTCTTTTTTATCTGTAAAATGGGATTAACAAGAAACTCATAGAGCCCCTTGTGCTGTGACGATACAAATAACGTGTTTGATGGACAGAAGGTTGGGAATACATTTTAACTCCCTTCCTTTCCCTCATATCATCCCACATGTACCCTTCCTTAAGGACAAAAATGTATCTTAATCTTTGAATTCTTAAAACCCCGCACAAAATAGGTACTCAGCAAACAAATTAATATCCCTGACGTAGTATTTGCAAAGTTATTACAAGAAGGGAGTTTCTGCCTGGCCAGGCGTGGCTCAGCAGTTGAGCATCAACCTAGATTCCAGGAGATGGCGGTTCGATTCCCAGTCAGGGCACATGACCAGGTTGTGGGCTCGATCCCCAGTCGGGGGCGTGCAGGAGGCAGCCGATCAATGACTCTCTTATCATTGATGTTTCTCTCTATCTCTCCCTCTCCCTTCCTCTCTCTGAAGTCAAAAAAGATATATATATATTTTAAAAAGGATTTTCTCTTGGGATACATAATGTTTCATTAGTGAACCTTTAGTTCATTGATGGTATTGGATTAACATAACAGAACATTGTTTTCCAACCTTTTAAAATTATTTGTAATATTTTAGTGGGGGCTATTGCAGGAACAGAGCATACCTTTACCCATCCCTACATATCTGGGCTTCAGTGTCTCATACTCTCACCTAGGAGAGACAAATTAGGCAAGAGCCACAGATATACACAATATTCTCTGCTTTGACAAAACAAGGCCAGAAGTTAAGTAAGTAATTTTCCTCTAATAGTAGGATAAACTAAATAGATTAGATGTAGTTGTTTTCTCATAGTGTGACCTACCTTCAAATATTTCACATCCTCATAGACATATCAGCCATCATCTCTCTTCTTTATCAAGTTCACCGCCACTCCCACCCCCAGATAAAATATGTTCAGGAGAAAGAAGAGACCAAGAAAGGCAACAGTTGAGCTAGGTCTGATGCTAATAAATGCAAAGACAGACTTAAAGATGTACTGAGATCATCTGATCAAGTCTCCTCTGAACCCAGAAGGAGTATGAAAGCCAGTACCAGAGCTTTGACTTCCACTGCAAAGCCCACACCATTGGCCAGTATCTAGGACTCCATCCTGGGGGCAGCTTCCCAGACCTGCCCCACGTGCCCACCTCTGACCTGGCTTCCCAAGGTACTCTCTCTAAGGAGTGAAAGGAAGGAGACCTTTCCCTCACCCACAAATCACTCATTAATTCATTGAACAAATATTTTTTGAGCACATACAAGAATGCCAAGCATTGTGTAGGTGCTGGAGACAAAGTAAACCAGCTAACACTGAGATTTCATTCTATCAGGATGACAGATATTAAAATATAAATACAAGCAGATTGTTATCAGAAATTCAGGATACCAGGGGTCATTTCCTAGGGAAAACTAATATAATTGAGGTTGAAGGCACAAGGACCCAGA